AAATCCATCGATCGATAAATTAATCAATCATACGACAAATCAGTGAGTGAATGACTCAAGCAATCACTAATTTAATCGATAAATCAGTCAATCGATCGATAAATCAGTCAATGAATCGATGATATATACTCACTACAATGGCCAAGGTTTCGTACTCGCAGTAACTTTCTTTTTCTACAGGCGGCATGTCTCATGTGACACATATTACGGTATGTCCTGCCGTCGGTGGCGCACAGTGGTTCGTAATTCATGGGACATTCCTCCTGGGGACACGCACAACGTGGAAAGCCATTGAATAACTGACATCTACTGTACCACGGACAATTCATAATTTGCCAGATCGAGTTGCGACAATCACCAGCTTTACCTGAACGAAAAATGAACAGCACAGTAGTTAACGTTGGTTGACACCATCAAAGTTTCTGTGATCACAGTAGGAATTTTGCATAGGTAAACTCTAAGTTCCGAAGAATTAGCCATTCCGAAGTTGATGAGAGGACTGGGGACGAATGTTAAAAAGTGCCCAAATTAAGAAATTAAAAAGACCACCTCAAAATTAGTAAGTATACAAAGTTTGACGACGTTTACATGAATACCCTTCGAATAATAAGCTTTCCAAGTTGTGAAATTACTGATTAAAAGATTGTTTTTGGGACGCGCGTCCCAAAAACAAAAATTACAATACATTTCATAGTAAATATCGCGATTTTCGAAAGCTTATTATTCGAAGGCTTATTATTCGAAGGCTTATTATTCGAAGGATATTCATGTAAACGTCTTCAAACTTTGTATACTTACTAATTTTGAGGTGGTCTTTTTAGTGATTTGGTTCATTTCTTAATTTGGGCACTTTTTAACACTCGTCCCCAGTCCTCTCGTCAACTTCGGAATGGCTAATTTGTAAGAAATGTTTGAGGGAACGGACATAGTGTTTAACACGGAGTCAGTTCCCTGAAACATTTCTTACAAATCCTTCAAAAACGTAGAATTTAGATGCAAAATTCCTATTGTGATCACATAAACTTGGATAGTGTCAACCAGTCTTTGAAGGGTCTAAGATAGCATTTTTCTTCTCCCGGTCAGGTCTAAAACTCAAAACTGCATATAAATTCCACTGTAAATCTCCACCTACAAAAACCCATCAAGTGTCTATTCTTAGCCCTAGAGTTACCATACGTAAAAAGGCCAAAAAGACATCAACTTACATTCGCCATTGTATCTTAAACTATTCCAATCATTCATTGCGCAGGAGTCCGCCATCAAGGAACACAAGTTATCATACGTTTTCCAGTTTGTACCACACACGGGTCTTCTGCTGCTCGTGCAGTTTTGTGGACATACGCAGACTGCTTGAGTACCATTTATGAGTTTACACGACGCAAAGGAATGACAGGGTTTGTCCCAGCATGGATTGTTTAACAGACCTAGAGAAACAGAATCTCTCATGGAGGATGAAAGTTGGGGGGGCAGGGGGTAGCTGAAGAATTGTGTAACAGAGCTGTAACAACAATTTTTCAACCATGAAAGCATAAGGCTACAAGTTAAGCTAAATAGTGCGTGAACTTTAAGGCAAATAAAGTTGAAACAACTAAGATTTCCAGCCAGAAAACTAGATGGTCATATGTTGGCAACTTACTTTGCCCCCTTCTCCCACCTCCCCACGCACTATGTCTCAAAGTGCCTGCATGCCCATTGTTTTGAGCTGGTTAAAATCTTGAAAGTTGATGAGAGTTTCTGCTCGTGTGATACCCAGTCAACTCTCATCAACTTTTGTTCTCATTTGACGGCATGAGAGTTGAGAAGGCTAGCTCTCATACAAACTCTCGTTTGTCAACTCTCATTCGATCTCATCCTCGCTTGTCAGGCTTTTATTCCTAACCGCAAATTTTTGCCATGACGAACTCACGAAATACATTCCACACCCCCAAATTCCCAGGCTAATACGCGATGATATGGTTAATATATATATACAAGCACTTTGTGTATACATTAAACGATTTGCATGACATCGATAACTGTATAATTGAACGAAATCATAACAGTAGAGTATACTAAACTAACCCTACAGCGTATAAAGGTATACGTTTAAGGAGACCTGACATGCAGAGATGATTTTCAATCAAAATTTCAAAATTCATTACTAAACTACATCGATATTAAGTTGACACTTATGCATCATGCAAAATATCGAGTGTGATCATGTACATTTCTCACGAAGCCAAACGAACACTTTCCTTGAGCACATTGCGAAATACGCACTCATACAATTGCAGAAAGTTACGTATTACTTTGTTTAAAGTAGTTTTGTGCCGGTTCGACCGTTTATCCCCTCCAACACACAAACAAATAAACAAACCAGAAAAGTCAATTACAACAGTCTGCCAAAAATTTCTTTGTTCTTCTCTTAAGTGCCTCTTACGAAATCTGAGCAGAATTGTTTCGAACAAGAAGTATTACATGAATTTCGACCTTTTCGCACAACAAAAATTCCTATTATGGTAAAAATGTTTATTAAAGTCTTGCACAAAAGCACAAATTTCAGCGAGACGGAAAATATTCAAATATTTGTTCCCCCCCACCAAAAAATTCCAAACATCAAATCAATCTTACGAGTTATGGCATTTTTACATGAGCTGGTATAGGACAGCTAACTATTGGCTGACTTTCCATTCTTTACTTTACCCTTTTAGCCGAGCTGTTTTACGTTTCAACCGTATTATCGTACCGAAACGTGGCATCTTTCTTTGCCTAACAGGCATTTCTTTCCCTTTGCAAAACACTTTGACATGAAACGAAAATTCTTCGGCACGTTGCAATATGGCTTGAAAAAGTTTAAAAAGTGAATAAAATAAAATAAAAATATTGAGTCACGTTAGGTTACGTTGGCAAAATTTTTCATTTTTACATATCATAATAAATCTTGTTTTCTGTACACCAAAAACGCCAAAACAGTCAGTAATATGTGCCAGCTTGTCTCGAGTATAAGAGCAACTCCAGTATTTTAACCGATAAAAAAAAACACACGAAATACTAAAGAATTAAACAATTTCAAGTTGCCTAACCTGTAGTCCCTTGTCCAACAACGACAGCCAAGCCCACTGAACATACGGCAAGGAGAAACACAAATTTCATCGCGGCCATGTTGTGATTCCACAATGTTTCCAAGCCTCTGTATAAAATATGGTGCCCCTTCGCCTATTTCACAGCCGCCTGTAAGATTGCTGAAGCGTGGTTAATATTGGCATGATATAGACAAATTGACCAGACAAGGCGAATTTGAAGTACATATTTATCCCGGCGGTGCAATAGGGTTTGAAAAAAATGCGTTTTGAGTTAAGTGAATATTCGTGGTTACAAAATTTTCAACAATCATATACGATTTGTTATGTATAGCAAAGATTAAATGGTGAAATGGTTGTCTAGGTACAAGAATCTGGAATAAAAACTAAGCTTTTTAAACGGATAATTGCATGACAGCATATTTTTTCAAATTGACAAATATTTGTTCAATTACTATAGTCCAATATATGGAACAAATCTAGATATACATGCATATAGCAGCACGGTTAAATTGCACAACTATTCCTGAACATATGTATAAAAAAGAATTGTAAATTTTACTTTTACGAAAAGTCACTTTAACATTTAATCCTACATGAATATGGGTACATTTTAAAGGAACAGCCTTAGGAATGATATCATGCAATATAAGGCACCATGGTTACATTAAGTTGTGTTTAACCAAACAAATCGTTTATATAGCCTTAGATTGGGTCATATTTCTAGAAGCTTATAAGAGTCTATGGTGGTTTGGAGAACCGCCAACGCTAGCCACAGGCACAGGAAATTCCATGTCTTTGGAAATCATGCACAAGCCAAAATAAGGAAACCATGGTTTAATTTTTGTCAATATGCAAATTTATACCGATGCGATATATCGCATCTGCAACAAATCCAGCAAACAAAAAAGCTAGTTTTTTTACCCACAATGCTTTGCGAATGTGGTAAAATTCGTTTTCAGTGTCTTTACCGAGTACGCGGTATAAGGCACAGTTCAGTCCTATGAATGATGGTTTTTAAGGCGCATTTCAGCCCTTTCAATTGAAAAAACTAACTAGGAAAATCAATTAAGTATATAATTCAAGATCAGTAAACTTAATGTTTTTAACATTTTAAAACATTTTATTGTTAAAAACATTAAGTTTACTGATCTTGAATTATGTATCATTGATTTTCCTAGTTAGTTTTTTCAATTAAAAGGGCTGAAATGCACCTTAAAAACCATCATTCAAAAGGCGGAACTGTGCCTTTAATTAATGCAATGACGAATTATGACCTAAACGCCAAATACCAAGAAAATAAACAAAAACCGTATAAACCACAAGGCTATAAATGTATTGTAATACTATAGAAAAAAACCCCACAAAATATAACAGTGCGAACAAAATAAAAGTCAATTTGTTAAATGGTACAACGACCATTTTATGTAATGAATTTTACTGATTGAAACCTACTAACAAATTTCAAAACTTAAGTACGATTTTCCAAAAAATATAAAGACTTGTCTTTATATTCATTTACCACAAAAGAATTCAAATATACAAACTATACTGGCTAGTCTTTCACACAAGAATATATATATATACCTAACCTTGTCAATTTCTCGGATGTAATTTGGGAGAATACAGGCGTACACTATACCATGGTTTAGGAAAATTTGTGAGGAACTTACTTTATATATATAAGTCTATAAAAGGGTCGAAAATAATTGCATTATTATTATTTGATGTGTCTATGATGAAAATTTTTTCTATATGTTACTCTCGCTGATGACGCCATTCCCGTGCGTCATATCCGGTTTCTCATCCAGGGGGGAGTGTTCACCATTGCTAGAACATCTCTCACGTCTGTAGCTTTCATAGTGAAGGAAATCTGTGACCTCTTTCAAATCTTGCATGTGAGTTCTGGGGGGAAGAAATTATTTTTAATATTCGAAATTATCGCTGAATGGGCTACCTTAGATCAGGGGGCGGATCTAGCTTTATCTGCATGCAAGGAGGGGTGCAGGTTTTCCATGGGGTGGTGCATGGGGGAGCCTTACTGCCCACTCTTTTCTGCAGTCTGCAACGCTACTCTCCCAACATTACCATTATTTCAGATGGCGAATCTGCATGTTTGTTGTTCTGTTACGTTTTACATTATCTTTTGTTTATAAAATTTATATCGGCTTTTTATCACGTATGCGTGACTGGACAGTTGCTGTAGCACAGTACAGTAAATTTGCTTGTTCAAATACAGTATATTTGAAAATATGGCTGTATAACAACTTCGACATGTGTACATACATTATTTAACCATGATATTTAACTGTAGCATTCTGAGCATTTTCTCGTGAGCTCACAAATCAATTGAATCATTTCAAGAAATCAACACACGCTAACAGTAGATGTTCCGCTAATTGCTATTCGAAAAGCAGAAAATGTAGGGGGGGTGTGCTAAAAACCATCAGGTGGGGTGTGCACCCCCCCTGAACCCCACAGTAGATCCGCTCCAGGTGATAGAGTTTAGGACCTTAAATATTACCACTTACTTTATCAACATGTCACGTAAGAGGGTAAACTCGCAATGATTCTTGTTTTCAACTAAAACAAAACGACAGACAAGGAAAACTGAGCAGCGTTAGGATAGAAAAACAATTATACCAAATATGAGATTTGAACAGGTTACCTTCTATGACACCCCAGCGAGTTTTCCGCCCTAGGACTGCCTTTCCACCAACAGAGACATTTCTATCACTACCAACCACGGCAAACGGTAACTGTTCCTGCAAAAATAGTATAGAGTGAGTGGAGTGTTCTAATCACCCTTACTACACAGAAGTCCATCTCCATTTTATTTTTTTGCGTAAGCTCTATTCGTCATGATTCGTCACTCTGCAAGTACCGTAAACAGAAGCAGTCACCTCCTGGAAATACTCAAAATGGCATACGTCCAGGGGGATGACTGCTTCTGTTTACGGTACTTGCTGAGTGACGAAACATGATGAATAACGCAATACGCAAAAAAAAACAATGGAGATGGACTTCTGTGTAGTGTTATGATAACTTACCTTTATCTTCGTGTTGGTTCGTACTTCGTCTTCGTCAAGCTCGTCATGAATTATGGGATATGTATTGATGTTATGACTGAGATCTTCCCGGATCTGGAGTTAAAATTATTGACGAAAAATAATTAAAATTTTTATCTCTCTCTCTTTTCACGTGCAACTGAGGTGAAAAATAATATAACCGCACTGTAAATTTCAAGGAGTAAACCCCATGTACTTACACGGCGTTTGAAGGCCTCTCGTTCTTCTAACGTTAACGTGTCCGACTTGGCGATGACTGGAATGATATTCACACATTTGTCAAGTCGTTTCATGAATTCAAGATCCAGAGATTTCAGCCTGATGCAAAATTAAAGAAGAACAGTTAACATATATATCAAACCCCAAACACAGCGAACGCAAACACGTTTAAAGTGTGGGGAACTATTTTGAAATGTTGGTGACTAGAGTTTCATTATTGCAATATGCAGTTGCATGATTATCATTTTGTGTCAGTCACATGTGAGAAGAGTGCTCATGGAGGTCGCACAGTCATTAACATGGGGGTCCTGATATCTTGACGAACAAAGGGCTGACTCCATCAAATTCGTGATGGAAAAACTGAATGCAATTTTTAACAAGGTGAAAAATTTTAGTGAGTCAAAATACTTATAACACAAATAGTACCGGTACTACTATATATAGTGTAAACCAATTTCAAAAACCAACAAGTGACCAACATGAACTATTTTGACCAAATATTTTCCATTTTGACCAACTTTTTGAACTTAAAAATTATTGGGGGTGTTACATCCCCCACACTCGCCCAGTAACAACATCCCTGAGAGTGTTTCCAGTTCAGTGGCGCTGTGGCCAGGGGGGGCAGGGGGAGCCATGCCCCCCCCATTTGTTGAGACCCGTCGGAAAATTGGTAATGTTGTTGGAATCTTTGTGGTTAATTAAGCATACCTGCATATACGATAAATTTGAATGTTCTTGTCCGGAAATTTTTTTTTCCCAATTGAGTTTGTCGGAAAAATACTGCCCTTGCCCCCCCCCCCAAAAAAAAAACATGGGACCCACGACGGCCCTGTACCAGTTTGACTCTACCAAACACTTCAGGTTTTCCCTGAATATTCCAACTTCTTTCTGCAGTAACATTGGAAGAATACCGACTGTAAGGAATGGTCCTTACTGGACCTCTAGAGAACTGTTTAAGACTGATAGAGATATTCAGGACAAGATTGTCAAATCTTTAAGTCGTACCTATGTCCAGTGGGTTCGATAAAGTACAGGCAACAATGAACCCTGGTGTCGGGAATTCTTGCTTTTCTATAAGTACTCGATTCTTCTCGGTAATAATGGTCGAATTGGTCATGGATGTATTCAATTACTGGCTCCCAACTAAAATGTGAAAAAAATTATGAAGACCGGTTAAAATTTTATTGATGTGTGATACTAAACTTATTACACTGACCCAGTAGCAGTTTAAATAAAAATGCAGAAAATAGAAATGGTCTACTCACCAGTTGGTATTATTAACTTGGTCACCAAAACCAGGTGTGTCAGTGATAGTCAACCGTAAACGGACTCCTTTCTCTTCAATAACTGAAAAAAATTGTGTGCAAGAATTGGATTAACCCACTAAGCTGCAGTGCTTCCCCATTGAGGAGTAAAATCGTCTGGCGTTAGACAAGTAGAAAAATAAGTAGGATGCACTGGGGCACATTGCAGTTCAATGGGTTAACTAGAGACATTGTCAGATTTTTTGGCTGACCCATTAAGCTGTAGAGCTTCGCCATTGACGTGTAAAATCGTCTGGCGTTAAACAAGTAAAAAAAAAGTTAGGCTTGGGCGGTTTAACGGTTTTTCGGGGTTTTTTCGGTTTTATTTTCAAACCGGTTTTTTCGGTTTAGCTTTTACAAAAACCGGAAAACCGTCATTACGTAATTGTTTACTGTCATCGCCTGAAACTCGATCTTAATTCTCAAAACATGACACCAATTAAACTCAATTACGTGACACTAGATACAAATTCTATTCTTTTTCCATAAAGTCGGTAAGAACTGAAGAGGTATAAGTTTTCAAATGCGTTCTTGACCCTAAAACTGAAGTCGTTTTAGGTTACCTTTGCACAATTTTGCGTTTTGTCATGTACTGTTTGTTTGCTTATGACAGAAAAATACCACAATTCCTCCTCATACCGTTGAAATACAAATTAAAGGGAAAAAACTGGTTTTTCGGTTTTACCGGTTTAGAATCAGACGGTTTTTCGGTTTTGATTTTAAGCAAAACCGCCCAAGCCTAGGTGCATTGCAGCTTAATGCTCAATGGGTTAACCCCCCTAAGTGGCAATGCACCCAGATGCACCCTACTTTATTATTTTACTCTGTCTAACACCAGATGATTTTACTTGTCAGGGGGAAAGTGCTACCACTCAATGGGTTAAATTCAGATTGGCAAAGTTAGGCTCATGTGACAAGGGGTACAGCTTCCCAGGGGAGTGGGGTACATTCTCGCCAAGCCACCCGAGAAAGGATAGACCTGGTAATTGTCATATCAGAGTAGATTGAATATTCTGTTTCAGAATGGCATGCATCATACTTACCATGGCTAACTGTCTTGATTTCTACAGTTTTCGGGATAACAAATGGTTGGGATATACATGAAGCACGGCTGAGCTTTGCTTTGAACAGAGTGTTCACAAGTGTTGATTTGCCCAAGCCAGATGCTCCTGAAACACAAATATTTTCAAATGAGACATGAGTCCATAGCAAGAATCAAACATACAAACTTAGCGAAGGACACAAGTTTGCTCTGCAAACTACGCCACAAATGCTCCAATTAATAGGTTAGTATAATGTTGAACAGTAAAATAAATTTTATACGCACCTACAACCATAATATTCAATTCAAATCCTCGTTTCAATGATTTCTTTCTGATCTGTTCCTGAATCGTGTCAAAACCAACATAACTTTCCAAAGAACTTTTCATTTTGCCCCACTGTGTTGTCTGCATCATCACCTTCGACATGATGTCGATGAAACTGTTGTACGACAACAAACCTGAGAGGAGAAACACAGAATGTAAAGAGATCAAAGTTACATTGAAAGTTGAATTGGTTCGCTCTGTTGAAGATTTGAAGAAGAACAATCTAGAACAGATGAAACTATCCAGTATAAATAAAGTTGGTTTGGTTCAGATTTTCTTCTGCAGTAACAATGCAACAGTAAGAGATGAACTTTACTGGTCCTCCACAAAAAAAAGTTTTGAACTGATACTGTTATTACTGTAATCGCTATCCAGTATAGGCAGAGGCATTTCCACAATGGGGGTCCCCTCCCACTTTTGCATAAGCAGGGGGTAAGGAACATCCAGACCCCTACCCCACTTTTCTTCAGGACAAATTTTGTAACTCTTTCAAAACTGAGCAGGAGGGGAAACCCCTTAATATTTTCATATATGATATAAAATATATCAAATATGTGAATTTCAGATTATCATAAAACATGCCTAAAATGCATGAAAAATAGTGTACTTTCTCAATACCTAAAAAGATAATTAAGAGTTTTCTGGGGGATCATATATATGTCCCCAGGTGCATGGCCGGACAATTAACCCCCCCCCCCCAACTTGTTTGGGATTGGCTATGCCCCTGAGTATAGGACTTGTTAGTTTAGGGTCATTTAGCCTGTCCGATTTATCATGCATATTCCATCCTACCTTCCTCGGTCTTTTCATCTGAAGTCGCTTTGATGTAATGTTTCTGACTTTCTGTCAAATGCCCGCCAAGTAACTGAACGGCCAGAGTGGATATTGTCTCCACGTCCACAAAACCCTTTTCCTCAACATCAGCAAATTTGAAAACTTTTGCCAATGCTGTAAGAACAATGGAGACTTTAATTTATTACCATTTACTCAAGCGTTATGCCATGACATCAAACAAAGTTTTTTTAATTTGCAATTTTTGAAACAAACAATTATCTTCAACAAAGCCAATGAGAGGTTGTGTGAGTCCCAAGCAAAACTTTCCCAGAGGAACCCTATGTCATAATTGTAAAATTAAAGGGGGGAAGCGGTGTTTCGCTTACATAGCAATTCACCGATAGATTGAAAAAAATTGAAGATTATTATCTAAGATATACACTGTAATTTATTATTATTATTATTTATTATTATTATAACACCCCGCCTAGATTACCTATTGCTATTTGCGGGTGTTTATACTATTTGTAAAAATATTTTTGGTAAATGAATAATAAAATCCTTGAAATCCTTGTTTCATTTCACAAAAAATTGCATTTTATTACATATTATCCTACACTGACGCAGCTAGGATTTATATTCTCAGTTAAGCAATCTTGTATTAAGATATTTTAAGGGACTTCATTGCTTTGTAAAGGTCCCATTTAATTACACAGTTCATTTGTAAAGCTAGCCCTGCTCTAATTGAGGACCACTTTTGCACGTCTTGTGTGAACTGGAAAGACAAAATCATGCGCAAATTTGCTACAAGTTGACTCCCATTGTAACAAGCAAGACAAGCGAGCAATTGTACAAGCTTGAGCTCCCCAGCACAGAAATTGCATGTCCTTGTTGTGAAAACTTACAAGACAGTATTAATACACCCTTTTGACAATTACGTCACAACGACACTGTTTTCAACTTAGGACCACCTTAGGGACCGGTCATAAGGTAACTGCTAGGGTTGGGCTGGAGTGATTTGGGATGGGCCATGGAAAATATTTGGGCAGTTGCGATGGGCCGCCAATTTTTTTGTATGTCCACAGTTGGGCCACCAAACAAAAACCCATGCATATCTACTTCAAAAAATAAAGATATTAAGTTAATAATAAAAGTAAACAAAACTATCCAAATTATCAAATGCAAATGATGCTATTAAAGCCAGTACTTTGTTTATACAACAACAACAAGTGGTCGAATCACAGCAAATACAATCAACTGGAGAGCAGCTCAGTATCAATGTGTTGGTAAAGCTTGGTGGAATTATGTATGTCAATACAGTGCCATGTATATTTACAATGTTCATACCTGCAATTTTTTTTATTATAAAAGTGTACTTTCCCAATTTAGATTGGGTGGGTCATGAAAATTTTTTAGATTAGATGGGCTTTGAAATTTTTATCTACATCCTAAGATAGGTCACCAAACTTATTGGCAAAATTTGTGATTTACTTCCAGCCCACCCTAGCAGTTACTTTATGACCAGTCCCTTAAATGGAAAGGATTTCAAGTTTTTTTTCTCATGAGCTATGCACAGAGAAGCAGAACATCCTTCTTCAACACATGCACAAAAGAATTTTGGATTTAGATCAATAAATACGGAAATAAGCATTAACACAAAAACGAGGCAGCCTTGTTTTCGGGGTAAAGCTTATTTCCACATTTATTGGTCCAAATAAAGAATTCTTTTTCATACATGTGTTGAAGAAGGATGTTCTGCTTCTCTGTGAATAGCCCATGAGAAAAAAACTTGAAATCCTTTTCATTTAAGGTGGTCATAAGTTGAAAACAGTGTAGTTGTGACATAATTATCAAAAGGGTGTATTAGAAACTCAAAAATATTTAAAATTTATTCTCAATGTTTCAGGACTCACAACTGTTTCAATTACTCATGCAACACATAAAAAAAACTGAAAAAAAAGCATCAATCATAATGAGTGGCAATTCTTAAATCTGACTGGCTATTACACACCAAGAGCGACAAGTTGACTCGACAAACCCCTATGGGTAAAATCTGCTCTTTAACCAGAGAAATTTGAGCTCAATCGTGCAATTAATTAATAAATAATACGAGTCGACTTGTAGCAAGTCATATGCAAACAATGCACAAGGAATTGACAAACTGTGTTGTATTTATTGTCTTAAGCTACCCAGGCTTGTCATTTCTGAGTAGACCCCCAAGAATGAGATTTGAAAAGATACAAAAATATTTTCTACATATATTTAAACTATCCCAGTACTTGTATATATAAGTATATTGTGCCCATTTTTAAACACAAAAATCTTACTTGCTTTAATGAACTAACCTAATTTAAACACATTTAACAGCTAAATTTGTATTGGGATTCGATTAATAACATGCTAAATGACAACCAATATTTGTATTATAAAATAGTTTTAATTCCATTGATTATAAGGTATAATTAACTTCAAAATTGCCGTGCGAGTTGTGCATAGAAACGAAATGAAGATATTACTTTAAAACTATCAACGATAAACGAATAAATTAGCGCATTAAAAACCGAAAAAAACTATTTATAAACCCCACTTGGACACTTAACGGCAAAATATGTCCTTTAACACACCTTCGAATTGCAAGTCTGTTAACAGGAATTGCTATAGAAAAAAAGAAATATAAAATATGAGGCATTCTAGATTCATTTGGTAGGGGAAATAAGGAATAAACAGGTGTGAATGCATGGAAAATTCATCAAAGCTTACCTGTTGGTCAGCCATTTTCAACTCAAAATCCAGACCGGATATCAGTATGATTAGAAAACAACATACACCCATCCATTTCCGGTCTGGCATGGACACAGCAAACCCAGGCTGGCTCGTCATCAAGATCAGAGCTTCCACTCGGAAGGAAATTTCCTTCCAAAAGGATATTTTGGCATTTGGAAGGAAAAATAAAAGGAAATAAGATTTGGAAGGAAATTGGAAGGAAATTCGGACATTTTGAAGGAAAAGGGAAGGAAATTTTACAATTTAAACTTTTTCAG